GATTTGTAGTTCTCTATAGCAGGTGCCATTCTGCATTGCTGTATAATGTATTGCTGGGATTTGTAGTTCTCTATAGCCGGTTGCCATTCTGCATTCCTGTATAATGTACTGCTGGAATTCGTACTCCTCTATAGCTAAAAGTATTATTCTGCATTGCTGTATAATGTATTGCTGGGATTTGTAGTCCTCTATAGCTAAAAGTATTATTCTGCATTCCTGTATAATGTATTGCTGGGATTTGTAGTTCTCTATAGCCGGTTGCCATTCTGTATTCCTGTATAATGTACTGCTGGAATTTCTACTCCTCTATAGCTGTTAGTATTATTCTGCATTGCTGTATAATGTATTGCTGGGAATTGTAGTCTTTTATAGCCAGTGCCATCCTGCACTGCTGTATAACATATTGCTGAGAATTATAGTCCTCTATAGCTATCACGTACCTGAGGCAGAGACCGGAAGATGAGGAGGCTTCTCTGCAAGACAGCGAGCCGCAAGAGAAGCCTCCTCATCTTCCGGTCTCTGCCTCAGGTACGTGATAGTACCATCAGCCATGTTGTGAGCTCAGGCGTGTTTTTATATAGCCACCTATGAGGTAAGATGTCACTTCCTGTGCACCTGCTGTTTGTGTGTCTTCCCGCACACCTTCGGTTGTGCACGCATGCGCACTATGGCCCGTCTTCGGAGATAGTGTATTAATCTACATTGCTATATAATGTGCTGAGATTTGTAGTCCCTCTACAGCTTGGAGACTGTGGCAGAACTACCAGGTTTGCATGGTCGTGTAGCACACTGACGAGGCATCCCTCTGCCTTCTGGATGACACGGCCCCACTGTAAGTGACGCAGTTGAGAAAATGTATGGGGTCCAGCAAAATTATAGAACACTGACTTTATACTGTCAGACACTGTCAGGCTCCTCCCACTATCCTCCCAACAGATCACAGCCCAGAAGCATGGACAGCCAGCAGCGGCCTACAGTGGACGAGAGTGCCTAAATACCGCAAATGGAGTGGAGTAAGGCCAGAACTATGTAGGGAGCCCAGCAGAAGGAGAGTGCCATACCACAGGCAGTCGCCCTTTTCATTGACCAAGTCGCTCGCACCATGGGCCTCTTGGTTGTACTTGCCCCCTGGGCTAAAAGTTGCCAGTCAGCCCCTACTTAGCGTGACTTTTGGGAGGGACTTCATCGCTGCTACATTGGGCTGTAACCATTCAACAGCGGTCTTGATGTGACATCATTCTTTCCTTCCATATTGCTGTGCAAAAGTGAGTCTATGGGGTTAAATCGCGTGACATCCGTCGAACAATAGGTCATGTTCAAGCTACAAGCTTGAGCCACGAGCTACAGGCGACATTGAGCTGTGAGATGTGAACAGCTCCATTGAAATACATTGGACAAGCTACATTGAGCGACATTGCACGGAAATATGCACAATATTGGCGTGGAAATCGTGCGATAAACCGCTCAGTGTGAACGGGGTCTAATCCCTTACCAGACCCTTTAGGTCTGGTAGGAATTTAAGGGGGGACCCCAATGCCAAACATCTTCCCAAAAAAAGTGGGATCCCACAAAACCTCTTACTAGACACTTTATCTGAGCAGTGGCCTGGCAGAGCAGGAAAGGGGGGGACAATTGTGTGCCCCACACCTGCACCATACCAGGCCACATGCTGTCAACATGGGGAGGGTGCTTTGCTGGGGTAAGGGGGGGAATCCCTGGCAAAGCACCTTGTCCTCAAGTTGATGAGGACAAGGGCCTTGCCTCTTTCCCACAACCCTGGCCCGGTGGTTGTGGTGGTCTGCAGAACAATTTCCAGGATGTCACTGGACTTGCTCCACAATTTGTTTACATTTTGTGACCGGTACCAGTAGGTGTAATTTGTGGCCGGTGATCGTTGTTCGAACATGTCCAGCGGGCATTTTTATTTTGTCGTGTCAGCGTGCATCGTCCATGGTGATTGAAGAAAATTAGGGATTTTGGAAACCGGTGTAGTGTGTTTATTTACTACCTTATGTTTATTTAGTGAATGGGTAGGGGTAACAACTACCACTTACTCATTCACGGGGGTGGCATCTGGGTGCCCCCTTTATGAAAGGGGGCTTCCACATGCAGATAACCACCTTGCACGCAGACCCCCACAACCACCAGACCAAGGTTATGAGGAAGAGGCCATTGTCATCGCCCCCCGGTAAACCACCCTCCCCATATTAAGGGTGTGTTGCACGATGGCCCCCCACTTCCGCTGCTTGGATCAAGGGTCTGGTAAGGATTTTGGGGAGACCCCACGCTGTTTGTTTTATGGCATTTGGGTCCCTCTTAAAATTAAGATTTTGGGGGGGGGGGGGTGTTTAGTGTTTTTTGGGGGCAGAAAAATCTAGGTGTGAATGAGGGCTCACAGATGTTTCAGTAGCTGGTCTCCACCTTTTCAAAACACTGTTACATAAAGATATTACCACTTATCCTTGGCAATTTCTGCTGCATAATAATATCAGACTTCTGATCAGATCACGAGCATTAACGCACCACATCTTTATTGTGGTACAGCGAACTTAAGGCCCTGTTCACACCTTTACGTTTTGTCGCGCGTTCAACTCTCTAGGAACGCTCTACAAAACGTACAAACTTGAAAATCCCATTGTGTTCTATGGGTATGGTTCACACCTTTCTGTATTTCAGCCCGTCTGAACGCGCTACAAAACGGCCTACGCCCAAAGAAGTACATGTACTTCTTTGGGGCGTTTTGGTCTCGCGTTTCCATTAGGATACAGCCAAGTAGCCCTCGGAAACGCGCGTTTGCTGCGCGTTTTTTACCGCGAATCGCGGTAAAAATGCGCGGCGACAAACGCGCATATTCAATACGCCTAGGTGTGAACCCAGCCTTAGCCAGGAATTGGAAACCAATATGTATCCCTTTTCCAGAGGTCAAACATAGGGTAGAAACCACAATAATAGATGCGTGCGTAGCAATCCTGGATGACAAACATTGGTCATTTATTTGTATCTGGGAACCCTGGATATAATTATTCCACCTGATGATGGATATAAGTAGTCTTCGCTACCTGTGACTAGGTGGGGTGCATACCCTGAGAAGTTGACCTATCACCTATTTTGCTGATTTAAAATCCTAATATTTATGTACTACTACCAGAGTTATGCACAGCAGACCCCATCTTGTCTTTTACTTTCCTTGCCCATGCTTTTTCTTATTCCCCCCCCTCTTTTTCTTCCTCTCTTTCCTGGCTCCAGTTCCTTTCTGTCTCTCCAATGTCTCGTTTTACACATCACTTTGGAAAATAACGTCCAAAATAGTTGAGTTTAAAGGTATGTATTTTTCTATATCTATGTAATTAGCCACATGAGAAGCAAGATGTTGATGCAGAAATCTAACTTTATTATACCGATTCTTTCATGCCTATTGTGTATCCTTCTCCGAATTTTCATTGCAGACTGTATTCTCCTAGATTGTTTGTACCTATATTTTGCTGTTGAGCAATCACTTCCATTTACAGCAACCTTATAACATCATGTTATGTTTGTACTTCCTTTTTGAAAATTGTAATAATATTAAAACAGAAATAATTAAAAAATATGTTTTTATTAATTATATTTTTTTTAATCAGAAGCTTGAAAAATACCAGGAAAAAGAAACATAAAACAATCCATAGTCATAAGAAGGGCTACCAGGTCTGTTAACTGTGAATACAATAGTGGGTTTACACAGCAATGTAATTCACAGTAATAAAGCACTTAACAGCACAGTGAATAAGGGGGATACACCGAACTTTGTGTGTAGCCTTCTACATTTAAATGTAGCAATGGCAATACACCACTGTACTGTATATAGCAATGTATAGCTTTGTAGGTAGCACTGAACACAGTAACTATATCTTCCAGAAATTACAGTTAGCTGTCCCTATCTACTCCAATGCCAACACACATTGACAAAAGGTTGAAGGGAGAGCTGACTTTTATAGGGAGACTGCTGGCACAGTGGCAGAAAACTAATTGGCCATACTATGCAAGCTGACAGTTTACGCAATGCATTATGAAGATTTGCTTTTGACCTATAAGTTTGCCGTTTAGGGGAACTGCGAACGAGCAAAGTTTGGGTCAAACTATGTGGCGACATGATGATAGGACTGGTCTTAGGCTGCAGGAGGTGAAAAAGCGATGGATGTCCGGGGGTTCTGGTTAATCTGGAGGAACCCACTGTCCGTTTCCTTTTGGTCAAGTGCAAGAAGTAGCTCAGCAGCGATTAAATGCAAGTTTTACACCTTTGTGGTGCTGAGCTTGGGAGTATGTTTCCTAAGGCTCCATTCACACGTGGGTGCGATTAGATGTGTTTATATGCGTTTAAAATGGCTTTCTTACACATATATTTTGCATCTCCAATGCTAAGCTACGCCCCTGCATGAGATCTTTTACTGATGTCTGCAGCCGAGTATGCCTGTAAGATCAGTACAGATGGTCTCTGCAGACATGAGATCTTTGCATCTGTGGGACCTGTAAGACAAGCAGAGCTATTAATGTTGATATACATATGGAAAAAAGTTTCTGCGTTGCCGAAGGCAACCGTTTGCACTTTAGACATTTTTCTAATGCAGATAGAACAGTGGTCACCATGGGCAAGTGAGCAAATATTCATAGATTAGCTGCATTCAGTTAAATAGAATTGAACAAGGAAAAGATTACCTTAATACGCAGATGTTGGCACTTTGAATTCTTACTCTATGCCAAGGGCAGCGGCCAAGCGTAATCGTGCTGCTTGAATGATATCGCCTTTCCGGAGAGGGACAAACAAGAAAGGGGCTTAAGACATAGAACAGCAACATAGAAGAGGATACCATATAACCACTTATTAGTGAAGTGTAAGAAACTGGAAGTGCTTTATGTGTAACTCTAGAAAATAATTTTCTTGAATTGAATAAGGAAAAGATTACCTTACTACGCAGATGTTGGCACTTTGAATTCTTACTCTATACCAAGGGCAGCGCTCAAGCTTAATCGTGCTGCTTGAATGATATCGCCTTTCCGGAGAGAGATAAACAAGAGACTTAAGACATAGAACAGCAACATAGAAGAGGACACCATATATCCACTTATTTGTGAAGTGTAAGGAACTGGAAGTGCTTTATGTGTAACTCTAGAAAATCATTTTCATGAATTGAATAAGGAAAAGATTACCTTACTACGCAGATGTTGACGCTTTGAATTCTTACTATATGTCAAGGGCAGCAGCCAAGCGTAATCGTGCTGCTTGAATGATATCACCTTTCTGGAGAGAGATAAACAAGAAAGAGACTTAAGACCTAGAACAGCTACATAGAAGAGGCCACCATATACAGGGGCGTAGATAAGGGGGGGATAGGGGGGTGCAAAGGAGGGTCCTGGCCAGTGGCGTAACAACCGGGGGGGGCACTTGCCCCCGGCGCAGGACTGAGGGGGGTCGCCGTCACGACACCCGCTAAACGAAACCATGGCTCCCTCTCTCTGACACGATCACCCGGCTGTCATCGGGCGGCTGCTCGCTCCTCCGAGGCCACTGCGAGCGGGCCTCTACAGTGCCTGATTGGAGGGCGCGTCTGCCTGATCCAGC